CACGCTGCCATTCCCCCCCCCCGCCACCGTCTCTGGGTCTCTGCAGCTCTCGGGCCCAGCTCAGACAAGCGTCTCCTTTCTCTTCCACAGCCGCTGCCTGGTCCGTCTTCCTCGGAGCCTTCTGGAAAAGCCTTAACCCTCCGCACGCAACCGGCTGCCCAAAGGGGAGCGAGGAGCTGCTCGGGGCCAAGTGGGGAGAAGGAGGGAAATGGGGCGACGGGGGAGAGGGCAGCGAGGCGACGTCCCGCCACCGAGACGTGGGTTGTTCCCCGTGACGCACGTAGCGTCCTGGGGGGATGCGAATGGTCCTGCCCCCACTCGCGTGGCTTTGCCCCTTGGGATGAGCGCTTCCGAGGTCGGTCGGTCGGGTTTAATTTTAGAAAGCACTTATATTTTTAATGAAAAATGTTCAAGGAAGTGAAATAAAGAGGAATGACAGAGGAGAGCGAGCATGTCTGCTGGTGTTGACTGTGCCAAAACGCGTCCCTGTGCATTGATGGCGGGGCTGGGGCACACGCGGCTCCGGGAGCAAACCCCGCTTCCGTGGAGAGATGGAGGGCACCCCGCGAGCCCCGAGAAGGACGCGGTACCGGCAAACCCTGCCGAACCCCCTCTGCGTCCCCTGGCACGAGGGGCAGCTGGGGATCCAGGCACTGCGGGGGCCAAGCCTGGAGGGTGCCCGAGCTCATCCTCCCTCAGATCCCGTCTCCGGTGTTCAGGGAAGCTCCAGGAGGTCTCACTTCATCTCAGTATAGAAAAAAGGAACATTTTTAATACAATGGAAATTTCTATGGGATGGAAAGAACATTTCAGAGCTTAATTTCCCCCAGCTTGGAGAGGTCTGGGAAGGTATTTGGGGCATCAGGAGGATTTTTCCTGTCCTTTTATGAAGCCCTGAACCGATCCCTGCGCGTACACTGTCAGTCACATGCAATGCTGTTTTCAGACTGAAAGTTTCATCCTCCCAGAAGACAAAATTTTCATACGCCTGATCTCTCCCAGGAATATATTTTTTTTTAAGCAATAAACACCTGAAATATATCTGTAATGGGAAAAACCGCTCATGCTCTGTTAGTTCAGCACGGCACCACCACACGAGAGGGTGCGAGAGACCAGAGCTCCAGGGAGCTGGAATTGGTTGATAAGACTTTCAGAAGACCATGTTTACCTAAAAACGTGGGATTTCAGAGTCTGGGAATGCTGGATGCGGTTAGTGTTGCCAGCTGAATACTTGACACTGCAATTTCCTGTTAGTAAAACTCCTGAGAGAAACACAAAGTTGGTGACTTTGCTCCCCAGCGTGTTCCCAGAGCACCAGCTCCAGCCTGAGCTCCTCAGGGCGGTCCCTCAGCGCCGGAACCCTTGGGATGTGGAAAAGCCTCTCCTCGCTCCACCACCAAATATAGTTGAAAAATCAGAAACTTGAAATATTCTGGGAGGAATTTCTTCAAGCATAAGTCATGTTCTCAATAACCTCCGCTTCGTGAGTCTGTATCTGATGTCAACATCTGCAGTGATTAAGAGGGAGTGAGTAACAAGGAATGCGTGGAATGGAAACTCAGCTGAGTGTGAAACCAGGAACAATAATTTTCTCTTACTCTGACCGCTCCTCTCCCTTGGAGAGCCTTACAAACCCATCAGCTATGCGTAACAATCCCTTCCTCCATGCCCCAAATCAGCCAGCTCCGTTCTGGAAGGTGAAGCGACCCAGCCCAGCAGCGGCGGGCTGCAAAGGGATTGAAACCGCCTGGCAGGAGAGGCGTTTGCAGACAGACAAACGGCTGCAGTGGACAGGGATGGCTCTTTAGCAGATGGGATATGGTGCTCCGCAGCTCAGGGTGCAGTCAGGGTGCAGCCCTGCTCTGAAACGCCTACACTGGCCCAGGGGGAATTTTGCTTCTCATCCAGGGAGGGTTTTATCGACTCCCCAAGGCAGCAGAATTTGGCAGCGGAAGAAAAAGCACCATTTTCTCAAGTATCACTGTCCCAGTTCCACTGGCGCTTGGTGCTGTCCGGGGGGCTCCCCACCTGGCCGCCATTAGCCCAGCGGTGTTTAATTGCGAGAGCCGATCAGACGGTGATCCTGGAAAAGGAGGCTGCAAGGCGGGTGTCGTTTCTCAGCTCAAACAGAACCGGTTTGAGAAGTACCGTTCCGGTGGGTTTGAGCTTTGATCCTTTGGGGGGGAAAGTCCTCAGCCGGTGAAAATGCTGGCGTACGTAGGAACGCTGCAAAAACTAACGCCAAACGCTTCCTGAGCTATTGTGTATGTAAGAAAAAGAGCAGTTAATAATAATTAATAATGCCATCAATATTTCACAATTGGCAGCTGCATAGAACTTGCATTCCTGGAGGATCTGCTGCCAGAGCGAGCTAGCGCCGGCAGAGCTGACATTTCATCTTTGTTGACTGCTGCCAGTGAATCAAAGAACTTACTTTTCCCATATCGCTGCGCTCACATAATGGCATCCCTTGTGATGGGCTGTAATTTATTGCCGCTGTGTCCTCGGTCCTGGGAGATGAGACAGGCACTGGCAGAGAAGCCGCGCCAGCCCTGTGGTGCTTGTCACAGCACAGCGAAGCAGCGTTACGCACAAGAAATACGACGGACCAAGAAGATGCGGTGGTTCAAGACTCCATTATTCTGGATTCCATCTATTGAGATGGTTTATTGGGAGCAATTCCCGCTTATAAAGCCAGGGAACATCTAACGATCTGGGCTGTAGCATTCCGCCTCAGCGGCTTCTTGGCTGCATCTGCCTCTCACTGTACGCACTGCAAGGCATTTTTCCCCTCATATTTTGAGTTCGTTAGCGATCACTTTGGAGGCATTCAGTGCACTGACTAGATATCAAAGAGTCTCACGGTTTGCTTACTTCAGAAATAACACGTAGTCGCAGCGCAATTGTAGTATTGCAGCGTGCTCTTAAAAATAACCTTCAAACGGCGAGAAAAAAAGGGATGTTGGAAGCAATTTCTAGCAGAGACACTCCTCTCAGGGAAGGTTTCACCTCTGCCATCTACCGGCACGCTGCAAAGATCCTCAGCAAATTTATATCCCGTACCCACTCCTTAATGTACTCAAATCCTGTCTGTAATTATACATTCAACAAATGCCGCAAGAATTTTAAACGTTCAAACTTCCAAGCAAATCATTACAGAGCTGTTGTCAGCTCATTACTGATGAAATCAGGTGGGGGCAGCTGAGATAAATTGGGAGCATTTAGGCATTTCCAGTAGTTGAAGATTGGCTTTCAAAGCTGAATGTGGGTCCCTGCAGCTAAAATCTGGTCCTGAAGGAACACTAAAACGTTTGGAAAGTGATTTAGATGGAGAAGGCGGCTATTTAAAAGAAAACAGCCATGTTGTAAACAAGGCACAGTAAAGTAAGTGCTTTTTATTACGTATTTTTGGTTTGAAGGCAATATAGCAGAAAATCAAAACCTTTTCTAAAAGAGCAAACATTTATATACTTTAATGAAACAGTGATCTTAGCCTATGCGCATTTAACATAGGCTTAACTTCAACTTAGCTAAGTCCTATGAAGCGAATACACTTCAACAGCTCAGTTATTACACGAGGCAGGGAGAGGGATTTGAAATTTCTTCTGCTTGAGGGTTAAAAGGCACCTGTAGTTTTCTGGGGGGGAAAATTGCCTTGCTTGATCAAAGCAGTTAAACTGCTTTCAGGAATTGCCTCTTTCTGCTAATCTCCGGAGCAGATTGTAAGAGTTAGCGAGAGACCCCGGCAAACTGGAAAAATGTAGCTATGCTTCTCTAATGATGTCTGCCTTTTTCTCCTCCGATTCCCAAGAGAAAAACAAAATTAAAAGATCAAAATGGTTTTGGTTCTGAACTAAGATAACATTCTTCAATTTGTGTATGCACATCAAATATGAAAACCATGTCATTTTTATTGTGTATGCAAACATACGCAGTGGGAAAAGAACGCAGTTTATGTTCCCAAACCAGAGGCCCCCAGCCTGCTTCCTCAGTGTGTCTTAACGCAGCCGCAGAGGAGCAAAACGTGTGGAACTCCGCTGCAAACACTCAGAGGTCCCCCAGTATGTTCCGTGAGCTCATTCAGCTGGTCTGACATGTATGTCACTAGCTTCTCCCACTGCCACTCCAGTTCTTACTGGAATGGAAATGTAAGAAATAATTGGACACTTCTTTGCAAATGTTTAAAGAAAAAAAATAATAATCCAGCAGGAGTAGAGCAAGAGTCTGTAAAATTCAGAGCATCAAACGGTGTTGCTGTTGCTTCTCATGGTCAAGTACAGAATTTCTTTATGGAAGTTTGCTTGTGCATTTACCAGGTGAAACAAATTCAAAAAGCTGCTGTCCTCTTCATCACGATCCCCTACCAGGGCAAAGAAAACCATTTAAAAATGATTAGTGAAACTAAATAATTTCTTTGAAGACAAATCTTACTCCTTCAGTGTTTTCAGCAGAGGCTGAATCAGCAGCCTCCACTTAGATTTATGAGGCATCAGCTACTGCACCTGATGGCAGGACAGCTGTGAAATAACACGGGAGACTCTCTCCAAAATTCCTTCACCGGCTTGTCCAAAGATGGACAAGAACAATTGTGCGTTAAGACAAAAATCTGTCCCAACTGAGCAGGCTGTTCATCTTTACAGCTTGCCATCATAATCAGTCTTGAGGTTTTATCGAGGCTGACAAGCTGTGGACAGGGAGCAACTGCAGCTTGTTGAGCTGAACAGGCTGGCTGGCAGCTGCTCAGCGCCCGTCTTTAGACATGGCCCAAAAGGACCTCAGGCCCGATGCTCTGGTGGGACATATTTTAAAGGACTCTTGGTTTCACTATCCATGGCACTAGGAATCTCTTAGTCAGAGAGACCGGTTAAAATAAATGTCTCTCCCATTTATGACACTTGATTCATTATTTTATGGTAGCAAAAAAAACTTCAAGCGCTCCAGTATTCCCTCCCCGGGTGAGGGAGGGAAGGAGGACAGGCTGTGACGCCACGCTGCCTCCATTGCCTTGCTTGGTGCTAGCTCCCGATTAAAGAGCTTGTCCTGGCTCCCGACCCGCAGGCTTACCGGACAGTACGGCCTGTAGCATGTCCATGACTATGTGAGCAAAGGCATTCTCCACACACTGCAGGAAGTTGTTCCTCTCCCCTGGAGTACCGAAAACTTTGCAGACCTTCTGCATCATTTTTACTGCCCAGTCCATGCAGTACAAGTCCTTCTCACAGACCTGACATAGAAAGGAGATATTAGAAACACACCTTTTATGATGAGTACAAAGCTATAAAAGGCAAGATTAAATTTTAGAATTAACTATTGATTCTAATGCATGACTGGATCAGTTGCAGCCGTGGTCTGGAAAATTAGGGTTTGTCATGAGGACGTAGAGGTTGTTGTTGGCATGCTAACCGAGGAACTTCACAACTTTTCACTAGCGGTCCTTCTCCTCAAGGACAGGCTTGGCCCCTTGCAGAGATGTGCTGGATAGGGACCAGAGGGTGGAAGGGTACCAAGTGTCTTGCTGGACTTACTCCTGGTGTGTAGGAGTAGATGGGGAAACAGTTTTCAAGGCTGAGAAAGCAAATCTGGGGGTAAAGAGCCAAAAGGCCCGAGCCTGCTCTGCTCAGTAGTACTCACCAAAGCCAGGAAGACCATGAGCCTGGCTAACTCAATGGCTCTCCCATTCACAGCTTTACTGGCCATGAAAGTGAAGCAAATGTTGTTTCCACTCAGAATAAGCAGCCGAGCATTGTTCTCCATGAGCCACTCCCGGGGAACAACTTTGTAATAAAATAGAGAGAATTTTAGTGATCTTTGAACAAAAAGAACAGAGTGCCACAATAGTTATTCTGAATTTATGAATTGTTGGCTTTGATAGCTAACCAGAATTGGTGAGGGGATACCCTCTGGGATACAATTGCAGCAATGAAGTCGTATAAGCAATTCTTACCAGCAGTACAGTTAGACCGCTTCATGATAGCTTCTGTGATATCATCTCACCCAAAACTAACTTTCAACGTAGCTGTTAACATTGTTCAGTAGAATTTTGGCTTGAACAAACATTATGTTTTCAGCTTACACAGTTTGGACCATGTTTCCTTAATAATGGCTAGACAAGACTTGAATTTTAAAGGTCTTAAAATAGTTCACAATGGGGAAAGACAGCCTGAATTTGTAAGCAGTGCAGAGTTTCTCTCATCCACGGCTACTGCCTGGCTTCCAAGTGTAATGACTTTTCCAGTTACGCCACAGCTACTGTGAGGAATATTGCAGTTTCCCAAGGCATCTCTGTGTCTGAAACACGCTTATTGCCAGATTTGGAGGACATGAGCATATAATCCTATGGATTAATGATAAAGGCAAAAACACACCTGACAGCTCATCCACAAGACTGATAACATCATCTGCTGTCCATTCTCTAGCTTCTGTATCATACAGCAGTTTAATTGCATCTGCTAGACCTTTCAGACTGGTCTCATCTGTTGGTCCTTCTATCATTTTCTGCCAAACCACATGTCCTGAGCAATATATTAATCACAACTGCCATTAAGTGACAAAGTAAATTATTTTTGTTTAAACAAGCAGGGTGCTAAACTGGGCCTGACAGCGGAGTCGGAGGAGGGGAATTCAGGTAACGCAACTCAGTCTTTGTGACAGTGGGATTTTTTCCATCTGTCATTTTAGCAGGGAAGCGGTAGTTGCAGCATGAATCAAAAGGCAATTTAAAGAAACCCAGGTTTAATAATTGAGGGAGAGAGCATGCTTTTCTTCAGGGAAACAGATGCTTCTTGGAGGTGCATTGGAGCTAACTCTACCCTGAGCAGGGGAGAATAGAGGAACAGAGGTGCAACCCCTTCACTTGAATTGTAACTTTTTTTCTATATCATTTATGTATTTATCTATGTTAGTGAGCTCTGGTTAAGCATAATGATTTTTTTTCCAGGCAAAACAATTACATTTTATTTGCATAAAGCTTGGTTTTCAGAAATGCTGCATCCTGCAAGGAAATCTCATTCTCAGGGAACAAACTTTGAAAATTAACCCCCCAGACTACTCGCCATCCAGAGAGGACACTGGCCCAAAGATGATGTACAGCAGGCGAGCTTGATTAACCATGGGCCACGGCTTTAAAATACGAGTCAACCAAAATGCAGAATCACTTCGATGAATCCAGTGGTTCAACAAGACGCTACGACAGTATAACCTTATCCGTAGCTCTAGCTTCCGTGCACTTCCTGGGGCAAAAGAATGTAGATATTATAAATTCATCAAGCCTCACACAATACAGATGATCACTTTTTTTTTCCCAGGAAGAGAAAGAAGGATTTTTCTTAAAGCTGCCTAAGAACATCTGGGGGGGGGGGTGTGTGTTAATTCTCAGCTGTTACGTCCCAAGTCTGGCTCTTTTGGGTATGTTGTGCTAATTCAAGCCACAGAATCTATCGATGCACCCTCTGGTACCTTTCTGCAGCAACTCGTGTGTCTTCAAGGGCTCTCAGCTCTGGTTTTTTTGTTTCTATTTTTTGGCATCAGTCAGTGGAAATAGGAGGAAGTGTGTATATGGCTGAGTATAAAGTGTTACACAGAAACACCCAGTTCCGTGCTGGGTAACGTGAGAATTTCTTGAGAAATGCATGTGGCACATCAGTGTTGTGTTTCAGAAATAGTAAACCTAACTTTTTACTGCATCACTTTACTTCTATGTTGGTTCCTTTCCCATTGATTCCACTGGCACTGGTGTACAGTAGAAAAGAGTCAAGTCCATGTTACTGTTTATGTAAACATGTATCTTATGCATCGGTTTGATAATGAAATGATTCAAAAAAACCCAACACCTCTCAAGACAGCTCTCTTCACTACAGGATACATGTTAAAGACAAAAGCTCTTTGCTTTTGGTGAAGGAAAATAGCTGTATCTATCTATATGAAGGGCAAGTATTTGCTTTAGAATGCCCACTTTCTGCGTAATGCTGGAGCTAACAGAATGTACATGTGAGTCAGGAAAGGACTAGTGCTACAAGGCTTAGCTGAGCTGAAAGTCTCAATTCTAGACACATTTTGTTTGCAGTAATCAAGATCCATTTTCTGACTTCTCCATGCTAGCGCATTTTGATTTTGTAGGACTTTTGTCTGTTTTGATGATTACCCGGTTTGCTGCTGACAACCGTCTGTACTTTACGGGGTAAATTGCTCAGCTCACAGAGGAAGTTAAAAACCCGGTGACACTCTAGTTCATCCCAGCCTGCTGTTAGGATCTGAAGATTACAAAAGAAAGGGGGTAAAAATGAATAGATGGAGCCATAGTTTAGATCACAATGCCATTTCTCAGATAAATACAATCTGTCCTGCAATTTTTCAGAAGAACAGAGAGGGAAGGTGGCATACCTGGAGTGTGGTGCCTGCACAGCATCTCCCCGATGAGCGTAGGGAAACCATTATCTGCTACAGAGGGGCTGTACATTATGGCAGAGGTTGTACTTAAGCTTAACACAGCCCAGAATCAAAAGCTGCTAATGGTGTTCCACATTCAGGGCCAAGATCTTATTTTTGAACCTTATGTGGAAAAGTACACAAAGGTATTTGCTACAAAGACAGATGTCCTAGCACAAATAATTATCTGTAACTCTTAACCACGGAAAGATAATCACTTTTTTTTTGTCTTATCAAAGACTTTAATGCTGCATACATACACAGCACCTGTATGCCTAAGTTTCTAAGACTTAAATGCATTTAAAATGTGCTCAAAATGCCAGTTCTCTCTAAGAGAGAATTTGTTTCTGTATTTTTTTAAACAGACTTACTCTCCAGTAAAGGCTCCATTATGGCAATTCTAACACTTCACAATCAAACAGCTCAAGTACTGTTAAAAAGGTCCTACCCTTAAATGTTTTGCTGCATGTTTGCAATCACAGTCATCATTACAGTAAATAAGCTGTGGATTGCTGAACTAATTAATCTGACACTGATATTATTATTATTATTATTATTATT